TATTCATAATCTATCAATAACGCGGTTCGGCCGAGTGAAGATAAAATGTCATTGCTACTCATATTAGAGAAAACACCATGTTAGTTGTTTCTACCCACCGCAGACTGCAGACTTTGTTTAAGCTGGCAGTACACGGTAAACGAAAGCATACAAACGCGAATTATTAGATTTAAGTTTCTACTTTTCTTTCAAATTTCATGAGAAGGCCGATAACATTTCTGCGGGTGAAACAACTACTCGTTTCAGTAGTGTTCTTAGCTGCGAGGACCTCTTAATTTCATCTCTCCACCGCAGTGCAAATATATGAATTTTCATATATCTATAATCATAAGACGAAAATATTGAAACTGTTTAAAATGTAGATCCGTTTAGAAGCTGAATATTCGGCCACCGCCATATTTGTTTTACTTTTTGATCCCAATTAATCGTTGGATCTTCCGAGTAAAGAGAGCGCGTGAATCTTCGCAGCGCAAGGATCTTCTCATCTCTCAGCAAGAAACATTATAGCCGGCAGAGGCAAAGTACGAACTCCAGCATGTAAAATAATTTTGAAAACTTTTGACGTTGTCCCCTAAGTTTTCCTTCACCCCAGTAAATAGCCCGAAACAAAGTTAATAAGAAGTAAACTTCTCGAAGTTTCTAAATAGGTTACAACTGAAACGTAATACCTGAGAAAATGTATAAAATGCTTTTAACGATTTGGTGACGATATTTAAATAACCCCTTCATTGACTTTTCTTCTATAAGTGGAGTCGACAAGAAAAAGCCATTTAATTGGCAGATGGCGAGTTAGCAGTTGGTTGACAGCCAACTTCAGCTAGGAGTGACTGAAATTTCATCTCGTCCGTTAAATTAAAAACGTGGCATCCAAAGTCTTCCTAGGTAACATTTTTCCGAAATGAATGAAAAACCGGATTAGGTGGAAGGCTGAGAAGAAAAACTTACCATATCCTTGAAAGTCAGATCTAGGGCGAGAGAGAAGTCCGACTGATGAAAATGAAAATGAGCCAGAGACTAGTTCGAGTAAGTTCTTTAAAGAGCGCCCAAACGGCCATCTGATCTTGAAGTTATTTTTTTAATTGCAAAAAGTGCTGAATTTAGATAAGCACTTCCAACACACATCACCAAAGACTTTTATTGACAAAAACACATTTCTCTAAGGAAAAAAGAATAACGGCCGTAACTACTAATTCAGTCTTAGCTTTTTATATGCAGAAGTCTGAAATGCTGTCATATAGAACAAGAAATGATTATAAAAAGAAAACAACACACAACTCTTCCGCGCAAAAAGAAAAAAACAAAGAAAAAGAAAGAGAAAACAGCATCGTTCTCAAGGTGAGTTCGATTTTTGTGTTGGATCCAACAAGAGAAAATACAGATGTTTTGTGTAACTGCGCGTTCATGCAATCAACTGTTCGTAAGTCGATTTTCAAGCGCCGAATTTTAGCACATAATTGTCGGGACACCACAGATGTCGAGTAACATAACGCATACGAAGATTTTAACGAATTTCTCGTCGCCTTATTAAGTATGTCCAGGGTTTTGAAGAGGATTGAAAAACATTCTAGGTGACGCGAAACAATTTCAAAACTCAGGTTACTGTTGACTCAACAAATTTGCATATAAAGCTGTCAAACACTGGTGCAGTGAAAGATCGGCTCTTTTCATCTAACCTTTAGAATCAGAATAATGCGAAGCCGTTTTGTCATCTCGTTATGACAAAATGTTCTGATATATTATGCCAATCAATCGATTTCCATCAAATTAATACTTTCAGCTGTGAAAAAAAGAAGGAATATAACTTAGAAAGACGAGAAACTTGAGGACAAGAGAGTTGCTCTTATAAACATTTTTTTTCCTTATATTTCATAAACTTACAAAATTTAGGGCCGCCAGGAAATTTAATCGTGGAAAAAAGATGTGAACAGGCTTGCTGATTTTCCCTCCTTCGTTTTTGAATCGATGCCTGATTAACTTTCCAAAGAAACCGGCGGGGAAAATAACTTTTAAAAAGTCTGCTTTTTCAATGAGAAGCTCTCTAACACAGTCCTTTAATTTCAGCAATTTGACCGAACAATGGACAAGCGCTATACACTCCGTTTTTTAAATGATTTGACTTATTTCATGTCCTGGCATTTCAAATGTCCAAGGCAAAAACGGGAAATAAAGAGTACTCATTTTTCTCGTAGCAAAGAATGAAATTATGATGCAATTCATAAATAACAATTTGCGTATCTAAACCACTCTACAGGGCATATCAAGCTATGAAGCCGACTTGGGGAACGGATTTTCAAGATTATTAAAAATTAAACGAGCGCCTATAGAAACGGTCCGCAAGTGTTCTTGTTATGCAATGTTTTTATGAAAGCCGGACCGGAGAGGAAGGCAAAATTTTTCTTTCTTAAAAAAATGATTTTTTCCTATGGTGGCTATACCAGTTCTAATCAGAATCGTTGCAGCTTTATTTAGGTCAGGACAAGAATGCCACAGGTGAAGATTGTTTCTCACACCGCTTAAGGTTCCAAACTGTAAAATGTTTCTAATAAAAGACCATAGCTTAACATCTTGATGCGAAACAAAAATACTTAAACTATGCTCACCTCCGCGTGTGTTTGTCCCAATGTTGTCGACTGCAGTATCTCAAGCGGATGTCATAAAAAAACAAGAACAAAATAATTAAAAACGAAATGTTTAACAATTCAAATGCCACTGACGCACTTCATCAAACAAACATTAGGAAAAGGGACGTTTTTAGGGAAATTTCAGTGACAAGTGACAAGTGCCGCGTCGGGAGAGTCCAGAACCCTCTGTAATTAATTGAAACTTTTAAATTAAAATACTTGCTCTCGAGAGAAACAGTTAGCTTTGTTTTTCCGTGAGTCTCGATGTTTTCTTTGACCAAGTAAAGGAAAACTGAGTCTTTCGGGTGGGGTGAGATAAATGTCTGACATAATCAGAGCACCGAGCGTAATACCGGTGTAATGACTAAAATTTTTAAAAATTACCTTGATGTTACAGTTCAGCAATACTGTCGGTTGTACCTTAAGAATATGATTTAATAAAATGCTGTGTTCTGAAGATCATACTTTTCGGACAATACCACGTTTTAAGGAGTCTCACTCAAATGCATAATGCACAATTGATCTAACCCTATTCTCAGGAAAACAAAACTGTTTCCTAAGGGACCACAGGACCATGCAGACATTAAGAAGTGCACTTTGTTATACTTCAGCGGACGAACATAAGCGAAATATGAGCATTTGCATCGGTACAACTTTATTTAATATAAACACTGCAGATGTACCACCGAAGTTCGGAGTCCATCTGCTCTAGCAGTTTTCGATTTTGCCTTCGATAAAGTAAAAAAGGGCTATTTTTTTAACTTCAGATTGTTCCACTGCGGTTTTCAGAGCTAGTTGCGGAGCTAACGACAAATTACCTGCAATTGCCGGGACGTTCCGAAAGGAGAGCTTCACCGTGAAGCTACTTGAAAAAAAATTTTTTTTCCGGAATAATAATTTTTTTAGAACGATCTGGATAGGAAAATTTCCTCGGCCTGTCAGGTGTCCATCACGTTCATAACGCAATTTTTTTTTATCTTAATCGAAGCATTTAAATTGCCTTTAAAATGAAAAATATTTGCTGGTTATGCTGAAGGCTTTTTCAAAACAAATAAGCATGGCTTTTATATTTTGAAAAATGGTCTATCATTTCATAGGTAGTTGATTTTTTTTAGCACGTGTCGGTATTATGCAAACGAGGAGAGTGGCGCGGTTATACATTGTGCATCTAGAATAATAAATTACAAAAGCTGTAATATTTTAAGAAATATAAAGTGCTCTTCTCCAGATTTGGCATCATAAGTGTGCGACAGAGAAGACACATGATGATGCCCTTTACATTGTTTTGAGCGTAACACTTTTCCTGTAATAGTTGTTTCAATTTCGACTGAAATGTCCGAAAATATTATTCTTATTTCAAACAGAACTGCTCTGCTTCTTTCCTTGAGGTTCCTTTGACCCTTGAGAGTGACTGGCGTCTAATTTCTCTTTACAAGATCACCCCTGAATCAAACTTAAAGGTCACGAGAATAAAGGAGATAATCACCAAATGAAGAAGCTCTAAATTGTTCAAAGAAAAGTCAGTACCCAGAGGCCACGGGGTACAACCAGCATCACTTTTTGCACTTTTCAGGTGAAAGGAGCCGGGCTAGAGCTGATCGCGAGGAGAAAGACGTGCGCGAGGGGAGGA